ACATTTGAATGTGTGGATTGCAAAACAGTTTACGACTGCCGCACCATTAAAAGGTAGGCTACTGTCGAGGTGCGAAGAAACTCCCTAGGTAATTACTGCAAGAGCCGCACAGGTCGCGGGACCATACCCCGTCCTGGCTAGCTGGGCTGGAGAGCCAATAGGGTGGCCGAGAGAATAGGAAGGGTAGAAAAGCGGTGCTAAAGGTGCAAAGTCGAAGTGAACTTTGTGGATCGATTTTCATATGACTGAGTAGCTTTTTAAAATGGATTCCAACTATGTAGGTTTCAGGATGCTTACTTCAAATGCAAAAATCAAAATTTCGTCTACTGTGCTTTGGGGCGATGTCGGGAGCCTATATATAGTCCTAGGGTTTAGATAATTCACGATTTTTTACAGTCAGTGATCATTCCCAAAAAGTTTAGTATGAATAATTCCGAACCAGTGCGTAGCTCCTCCCTAATCATCGGAAATTTCACTCAAAAAGCTAGAAAACCTATGCTCCTTGTAAAAACATGGCGCGTGCTTGATTTCAAACGATCATATAACCTTTTCTCTTTAACCCAACGCACTAAGTTTCAAGTTATTTGAAGTAATTTTTTTGGAGAATAGGCACACCATTTTCTGAGAATAGAAATCAATTCACGTTGGCTATGTTTCCTTTTTAAAAAGCCTCTATCATTTGAATTTGGTCCATAGTCAGACTGATCCATTTAGGAGAAAACTGGTATCGAAGTGATCAGGACGATCTGAGAAATGTCATGGTCTTATTTTCACCTAATGCCGGGTAATATTAGCTACTCCACGTTTCACAGACTACTTTTAATAGAGAGAATGTCCTCTGGTTATAATTATAGCAGGCGTCGCTGCTAATGACGTACCCTCAGAAACTTTGATGGATGGGGACTTCAAAATCGAACTTTCAAAAATTTTAGATAAACTTTGTCATAGAGCTCGAGGAGTTGAGTCCAACCATATATCACACTACATAGAAAAATTGTATATCAACCTAGTTACAGAGAAAAAACGAAAAAAAACGCGAAAACGCGTTTTTTTCGTGTTTTTCTGAACATTTAGGGTGGGTATTGTACTTAGTTGGCGCGAAGACCCCAGGTGACGGTAGGGGAATAAACCGCAGACCAATTGCCACCGGTGATCGCCTAGAGATTGGATTTATTCAGAAAATTAAGTTACTGTTTCTGCTGCGTCTGCCCACTCGCAGCCGTATCCATACCTGCGTGTGTTGGAAGTTCAAAGATGCAGTTGATTTCCTGTACATCGGCTCAGCTAAAAGCTTGCACTGAAATGAGTGAAAAGCACTTGAAAACCTGTTCGATGACGCTTCTAACAAATTAGCCCTTCGCTCGCTTCAAGACAGCCTGCCTAGCTCCTCATCCAATTTCAGTCCCATCCAGCCCTCAAGTGAAAGCCCAGCAAGCTACTCGTGTCTATATGCCCAGAACAGTTATATGTATAGCCCTTATTCTCATTTTTTTTGAGGTCTCCCCCAATAGCGTTGAGAGCGACCGCTCGTTGACGACTGCTGATATCTCAGGTACACAACAAAATGTCCAAAACCAGATGGATGATCTTGAGATGATGATTTGTTTAATACTTTCAAAGTACCAACGCTTGCATCGGAACTCGTATAGGAAGCCTGATGACGCAAGCTAAGAAGACCAAGTTAAAGATGTCATCAAACTAACCGAGAAGAGGAGACATCGTCGGCTGCACACCGTTCCCTATGCTGTTGAAGGGGGTGCATCCTGTAAAATAAGACAGAAGAATCCTCGGCCAAAGGTGCAGGTGTCCTCGTCAACACGCACTTGGCCATGCTGATTGATTCGTACCGAAATTTGAAAAGCCGTACTTTTCCGATCAGAAGATGTGACTCAACCTCAGCCTAACAATCTTCGTTGTCTACGCAATTAGGTCAACTCCGGGAAAAAGAGCTGTAACATTCCACCTAGAACATCTCAACATCTTTCCACAATTTATCGTCGACATACTGGCTCGGCTCTTCCGGTGACTGTCGGAGTGCAAAGTGCTTTTGTCGTAGAAAACTATCGAGACTGTGTTGTTGTTCAAGAATGTAGATCCAGACGATATTAGCAGCTATCGCCCAATCTGCCTGCTTCTGTTATCTAAGAGATCGTTAGATATGTGCATGAAAGGCAGCTTTGCAAGCAAGCAGGGTTAGGGAGAGGTTCATCACGAACGAACGTATCCACACTATCACAGGAATGATAGAAGTACACCGAGAGTGCAGGAGGTCGTCATGTCTCACGCTCACCGCATGAAGAAGGCTTTCGCTACCATCGAGACAGAGTGGTAACTGGAGCCTTTGGCAACCGATGTGTTTCTAACAAATATATAATAAGATGCTTTGTAGGCTTCGTAACGACTTCACGACCAGGGCTTCGCTATTTTACAAGGAAGCAATTGTCACGTGAAGAAAGGTTTGGCAGAGCAACACCATTCCGTCCAAACTTTTCACCTCCGCTTTCGAGAAAATCACGCATCATTTGGGATGCGCCGGCACTGAGGTGAAGGTCGACGGCGACTACTTCAATAATCTCCGTTTTGCAGACGACATAGCGCTTGTAACAGCAGATATTGAACAGGCGGAACCAATGCTGGCCGGATTTTACAGTGCTTGTTGAAAGAACGGTTCAATTGTGAGCCGAACGAAGGAGCTGTTCGTGTTTGGTACCTGATGCCCGACCTGATGGTACCGAACATGTCATGCGATTTTATGATGGCTGAACTAGTGTGTTGTTGTCTAGTTTCTTGTGGTAACAAATGAAAACCACGCCGCCCGCCATGGCCAGACCTATTCACGAAAGCAACGAAGGCAAATCGATAGTCAACGAGACTGGTGATCATCCTTGCTATCTTTGCATAGAGCTATGACTTCCCTGTGTTTCTGAGTGCCGAATTGTCGACAGTCGGGTTTGCACTTTGTCAGGGCTCTCTGGATCAAAACAATACGGACGAGAAATGAGAAGATTCGATTCAGCATCCAATTCTTCTCCCTAGCGGAAACGGATAAGCAAAGAACGACAGATTAGAGGGAAAATTTACACTACTACGCCGTCCCGATCCATAAGAACAAATCAGTCAGGGTCAAGGACAGTTTTCAGCTTACTGTAGTGATTCTCTGGCTAAGCAATTGCCTTTCACATTTAGTGGGGGTGCAACCAATAAGCATAAGACGATTCAGCAATCTGGATTCAGCACTCAGCATCCTCATTTTCTGTGGGATTATTGAACGCATGAGACAAGAGTATGAGATTCACTCATGCTTTTGCATTCAAGATTGTTCTAGAACTCAATCTCTTTCGATTATGGTAATCTCAAATACGCGGTGGAGTGCCAAAATTTTTTTCGCGTACTCTGTGCGCATTAAACACTCGGGAGAGATCAAGATCATTTGCTCATCAAAAAAGAAAAGCACTAACCGTTGTTCAGTCATTAACTGGCAGGATTTTTGGCAAGGAACCAAAAACAAAAAGGCAAAAATAAAGCGTTCGATTGTGAAAGAGCTAATCAACTTCAGCGCTCCCAATGAATAACACGAGAGTGAGGGGTAATCTGCCTTCACGAGGAGGTCACAGAAAACTGCTTCTATATCTTCTCTCTAAACTGATCAATATTTACCTTGTCATGATCTTGGACACACAGCTGTGCGTAACTCCGATCATTCTAGCGATGTGACTGATCTTGTGGCCTTTCTCGTAGAGTTGTAATATCCGTTCTCTGTCTGTCATACTAAGCGGTCGGCCTGGATTGTATGCTCTTCTCTGTTTGTTACGATCTGAACCTGAATGGCCAGAATTCAGCATTCGCGAGGAGCTCGCAGAAGAGGGATGCGTAGACGGCTAGAACGTTCTTTCCTGGCGCTATCTAACAATTAGTTGATTATGCTGTCGTAAGGTTGAGTGCCGGGATAACATTCTCAAATATGAGATCAAGGAATACATCAAAAGGATATACAATATATAATATCCCTACTGTAGATAAAGCGCTCGTTCTGTCTGCCGTTTGTTTGTCACGAATTTCGATACTACCCGAAGAAACACCCGGACGGGTCATGTTTGGATTATGGCAAGACGAACAGAGCATAAGCTGTAAGCTCATCGGAGCTCCACTCACAGGGCGGCACATGCTCAGAAGTGAGCAAAATCTTGAGCAAATATTTCTCATTCGGCTTCGTAACAGCCCAGAAAAATTAGCAGAGGTGAGGGATCGGTCAAAAAATGAAATGAAGTCAACTCACCTGTGGTGGGCGAAGCGTTCTTGCAGAGGGCGATACATTCCACAGAAGTTCATAACTCGATTCAATGAAGGCGTAGAGGCCAAAAAAAAGTAAAAGGAGCGTGCAGGGTAGTAAGCGTGCTAGACATGTCTAAACTTAGCAGAGATTCGTCCGAGAAGGGTGAGGCGTGCGTTGAAAGGGAAGCTACTTTCCAAAAATGAACACAATTTGGTCCAAAAACGTTCTAGGAAACGAGAAAAAGCTTGTTAGATGTGGTAAAAGAAATGTGGTCGAATCCTTGAAAAAAGGAGGGGGGTGCACCGAGGTGGATGGAGTTAAGATCGAAAATTCATCATTCATCTGTTCGAAAACATTCTGGGACCGGGAAGCGTCGTTAGATAAATATAATACAAGAAATGTTGTCGAACTTCAGAAGTGAGCACGGTTTCCACCATAGTGGGCGAAGCAAGATCAAAAAAACATAACTCTGTTCAAACGCGTTCTAGAATGTGGGAAGAAGTGGCCAGAGGTTGTAGAAAATTTGTGGTCAAATCCCGAAAAAGGGTGGAGCATGCACGGTGTAGGCGGGAATAATATCTAAAGTTCATAACTCTGTTCAAGAACGTCCTAGAAAGAATAGAGAGAAAATGGTCAGGGGCAGCTAAAGGATTGCCATGTTTTCTGAGTGAGAGGGGTCTAGTAGCCGTCCCATCTTGTTGTGCATAGGTGAGTCCTTTTCCAGGACCTCTCGTTTCAACACTTCTCACATGACAACTCACCTGTATCGCGACCCGTGGACAGGTCAACGGGCAGCATAAGACGATCGACTATGACCTCTCTTCCAAAAATTATACAATCGCTTGGAAATGATTACGTCACGAAGCTTGAATTAGGTTGATGCATAAGTTTTTTCTCCCGTGTTTGATCATTCCGGATTTCTATATACTTCTCCTACTCAGTGTACTTCACCATGTAGACTTGAACTTTCTACTTTGACTTCTATGACATATTAGGTCGATGCGTATATTTTTCACCCGTGTTTGATCCTTCCATATTTCGTTTACTTGCCGCACAATTACCACTGTGACAGAATGAGTTGCAGGTCAGAAAGGCGCTCGATGCTTTCTCCAAGTCTCAGCCCCCGTTCTTCTGGGAGGATGAATCTAATCTTCAGGCTGGTTCGCTATCGAAATATTCACAAAAAAGTCGGGAAAAAATACACGCACCAACCCACTAAAATAATGATAAAATAATGCTACTATAACATGAAAGAGATTCTCGCAGCTCTGCATAGAAAATGACATGCTTCAACGCAAAAGGTGTTAGTGGCGGCGCGGACGCTGACGAAGCCTACGTGCGCCGAGCGCCTTTGGTTGACGATAGAGCGTCACGGGTTGGGATAGTGCCGGCCGAGGGACTTCTCGGCCGACGGTATCGACCAAAATTCAGTTTTAAACAGGGGGCAAGCGCCGCGCCCGGCCGGCGCGCTCGCTCGCCATGAAAGCAGCTGTTGAAGCTCACTCTAAAAGCGCCCAGTGATAAGCGCCATTCGTCACTCGTGGTTATTTCTCGTTGTGACTTTGTGGTGCTCATCCCATCAGTCTAAACCATATGAAAACTCACTATCGGTCATAAGCACCTGCGGTGATTGAATTCGCATCGCATGTATTGCTGGTATCAATGAATATGGAAGAAGCGGATTGGTTGGGAGATTCAAAGCCTGGAATGTATGAATTTGGGGCATTTAATAACCTGTAAAGATACATGTCCATGAAAATGATTCTTTTTCATTTTACACGAATATAGCGGAAAATTTGAACTAAACAGTGTTTATAATCATATTAATAGTTCGCAGCTGTAGTTATTGAAACTCAAAAAGGCTCTGTTCCTCGTTTCCTACTCTCTCCTGAGGAATGAAATAGGTTGCTGTGGTCTCTCACATGAATGAGGAGAGAAAATATAATGGCAACTTGAAAGATAGAGTGATCGAGAAAAAAGCCAAAGACTGTTGAGGACAAGGAGACTGTGACGTCGAGAATCGGCACCGACATCAAGAAAGAAAGGAAGAAAAGGGTAGATCGGCAATGGCTGTCTCATTATAGAAAAAATAGTGACTTTATGTACATATGTAGGCCGCCTCCCGTTAATAGCAGGGGGGATGGGAAAATTTCTTCAACTTCCTTCTTGCTGTAACCTTGGCATGATAGCTTATGATAGCAATATTTATGGACCTACCAAGGTTGTATGTGGGTAGAAGTGACAGGAACCCTTTAACGAGAATTTCTTCGATTCATTTGTCTTTGGTTGCGACGTGACGACATTCTTTTCGACCCTTTACGCTGAGAATCAACTCAGTTTGTTAACATCAATGAACGGCTCTGAAAATCGAGAGCGAACTCAGGAGGATACTTCTTGTAAATGTGAGGATGATGTCACTATCATATCGCTCTCGTGAAACCCTTTTGAAACATGTCAGCCATTGAATGAATGTGTTCCAAAGATCATCTGATTGATGTTGGACTAGAGTTCAGAAACGAATGCGCTCATTCGAATACTGCCTAGCTCCATTACAGCGATCCCCTCACCAGGCACTATTTGAGTACTACCACAAATTTGTGCGGGAGCCAAATCCGCAAAGAAACCGTTTTCCTCTTGTTTATAAGGACCTGCATTGACCTGCATGAACCGATGGCAACTGTAGATGTTTGAAGTGAAAAGAAGTGAGATATTGAGCAACACGAACGAAAGAGGGAGTTACACTCAATATCACTGGAAAAAGAAGGTTTGCAAATTGAGCTACTCAAACTTCAAAAAGAGCCCCACATCTGCATTAGTTTCCAAAAATAAAGAAATCAAAGTGATAGCACCGCGACAGTGGGAATGGAACAGCAGCAGAACTTTTCACTTCTTGGTCTTTCATAAGAGCCTGACGGTATTGATCCTTATATTTGATCCGAATCTATGAGAAAAAGTCAGATATGCAAATGAGCGGAAGGTGATGGTCCTAATCCACTCTGTGCGATGGTAAGCGCGGCCCAACAGAGTTTCGGAGAAGCATCCCACCAATGAGCTTACAGTGTTATATAACCTTAAAAAGCTGAGAATACAACTGAATTCAGAGGTAAATAAGCAAAAGAGTGATCAAGTAAATGAGGGAATAATAAAGTAGATACATTATAACAATGAATATCTAAGGAACGATGAGTTGTTGCGAATAAAAACGCTTACATTGTAAAACGGAAATTGTGGATATGGAAGGGCATCCAGCGGTGTCATATAGCCTCAACCTGAAATGGTAGCAAAGCGTAGCACTTCCTCCTTATTCGGAACAGTTATTGTAACAATTTTATTCACAGCTCGATTCGAGATAAGCTAACATAATTCGGCTTGCCAGTAAAAGTTTGCAAACATTACGAAGGCTTGCTAAGATAATGACAAGATGTTTACTTTTAGGGGATTTGATATTAAAACTGTGATCTTCAAGCAACAACTCATATCCAGAAGCTTATTGGACTGGTGGTAAGTTGAGGAGAAAATTGGTGAAAAGGTTGGTAAGAAGATGTCATATTAAACAAAAGGAAATTAAGGCGAAAAAAGGTGTACTAGAGCAAACCTCGAACGTTGGCAACAACGTACACGCAAAAGCTCTTATCCTTCACCGTCGTTGTACACAGTTGAATTTGAGCAGCACTGACGAAGTGAATGTGTAACCGGAAATGATGTTTTGAAAAAATAAGCTCCGTGCAAAAGTTATGCAACGAACGGTCGATATATGCTAAATGTGTATATGTAATTGGAAGATTGCTAGCAGTGTCTAGTTACAAGCCCCGTGAAAAGCACCATTATCGCTGTGAAGTAGTTTCCCTACCCTGTTCCCAACAGCTTTCAAGCTCTTTTCTCAACAATTAATAGCTTCGACACAAAATACTCAACACTTCTGCCAATTTTACCATCTTTTTATGTAGTCCTATAATTGGATGGTTTACAGCCGTGATTTCCCACCATATGTCGAGCTCTTATCTATGAGCAGCACACGTTGTTGTGCAGGAAGGTCTTCACATAGCGATACGTCCCATGTTTCAAGAGAAAGACCTCTCACCCAACCCTTCTTCCCATTAGTTCTTTTCTTTTGGTTATAGAAAGTCGAATGAAGCCTCACATGCCTGTTGCTTTCGAAAACTTCGGTAATAAATGTGCTACCGCAGAAATGTAAAACATAAAAAATCAAAATTCGAAACAGGCTTATACATCTTTGGTAATTGTGCTACAGATATTGACGGCGAATTTTTTTTCACTCGTTTAGAGATTGAGGGGGAGAGTTGGATTGGGAAACAAAAAAAATTGTAATTTCTGGGTGACAAATCGACAAAACAGCCTTTGAAAAAAAGCTCCAAAAAATTAGAAAGTCCAGGGTAGGCTGCCACAAGATGCTGCAGCATTTCAAATGAGTTGCGGTTATTTGTTATCATTTCAAACAATACATAGGAATCACACAGATATATCAATAACTCTTATTCAATGCGATATCATTTGACATTGTAACGAGGTGGACAAAGGCGGATGATGCCATGTGGCTTATTTTGAGCAAGTGATACAATTCGCGAACTGACACAACAAATTGAGCCCTGAACTGTTTCCAAGCAGGAAGTTGGTGCCAAAGTTGTCTAGAAGTGTAAATGACTTACACATTACCTGACTCCATTACCATGAAAGACTCCACATTACCTGACAGTTCATTGTCTAGGCTCCGTTCGCGATAAAGCTCTATTGCTATATTGAAGAAGTGCCAAATGCAAGAGATTGACCAACACTAGCGGAACTTTATACTTCAATCAGTGAATACTTCAAATAATAGTGCAGTAAAAATAAATTATTGGAACTCAAGAGCAACAGCAGCTCCATACTCCACCCCCCCCCCCCCCCCCCCCCCCCCCCCCCCCNCACACACACACACACAAAAAGTCCGCCAGTTTTCGGAGACGGTCGTAATAGATACAAGCATTCACTTCATACAAAAAATTCACGCCGGTCATCACACCACGCACAGTTCCTGGTCGAACATTTCGAGGTCGATGCATGAAAGGGATACCAACAAAAGTCCGCTGTCTTTTGTTTGAGTGAGTATAGAGTAGCTTTTAATGGCTCAGTTTAGGACGCTAAGAGACATGGTAGCTTCCTTGATATCAATATGGCTTCAACTCCCTGTCCAATCCGACAGCTCCGCCCCTGGTTTTCTCCTTAAACGACGACACAACTGCGACGGCTTGATTATGCTAACGAACAAACCAACACAGTCACGCACTCATGTACGGCTTATGTGACGCTGTGAAGCCGACACGACTCGTTCTAGGCTTATTCCGCCCGTCAAGGAACACGCTCAGAACTGGTAGAGATATCTTGGATAACACGCATACAGACACAAACACATACCATGCTTACAAGCGACATATCCAGAAAACAATAAGCGAATAACATTGGCACATACAAATGCTTAACGTGCAGAAGCACTCGGAACTACTCGTTAAGCAAACGAGAAATCTGGAGCATCTATTAGATTACGCCACCTGAGGCTCACAGAAGCCATTCCTCCGAACACACGCTTATAAGAGCTTTTTATTTCAATAAGATCAATTTTGTTATAGAAGATACTAAAAACTACCTTGAAAAAATTTTGAGTAAAGTTCTTTGTCGGTTTACTGCCGAACTTTCCTTAACGAGAACCTTAACGCTACAAAAGGAAATCACTATGGTCTATCCGTGTTGAAAGGATTTTCTGACGAGCTTTGGATCAATCATCAGAAATGCTGTCCAATCCACCCAGACAAAAAATACACAAATTAACAAAAATTACTAACCAGTGATGTTTGATCCTTGGAGCTTTTTCTACAATGTGATCCCTTGCTTTTTTAAATGACTCAGGTTCTGAACCTAGCGATGGGAAGTCTCGCATAGTCTAAATTACAGAGTAAACCTGAGAAATGGCGTTGGAAATACGTCGCCTGTGTTGCATGCCTTTGCCAGGAACTGTCCCGCTATTCACTTCATGCCTTCCATTTGTGAGGCAAATCTCAACGCCGAATCATCACAGTATCGCTTAACATGTTACGCACACCTGATCCTCTATCACTTATAGTCATAAATAAACAAAAAACCCCTATTGATAGCAAAAGAAGCTCACTTTTTTCAGCCTTTAGGAGTAGGAAATTAAATAAGGGAACGCGGCAGCAAAAAGAAAATGAGAGGAAAAAAGAATGGGAGAAAAACATCGCCTCATCACTCGGCGATTAGCTGATTGTGCGTGGGTCCTAGAACGAATAATAGCAATCTGTATTGTCTCGACACTCGTCTAACGTGACACCGGTCGAGGGGCGGGAAAGCGAACTACGGCAGCAACGTGGCTTCCACTATGCCCTAAGCGCCGAGATTGTGGGAGCAAGAGGGTCCCTCCTACCACCTATGGGGGGCGCTGAGAATTCCTAGAGAAAGAACTCAGTAATCTTTCATATCGTGAACCGTGCCTTTAATGCTCCGCAAGCCGCGCGTTTGCTTCCACTCAGCTCCGTTCATCGTGTTGACTTCCAGACCTAGATACACACAGCTAAAGCTTCCAGAGATATTCGTTCCGTTAAGCGCAAGTCAAGGTAGCACAAGGAACCAACCCGTTTCTCATGAACATCATCTTCGTTAGGCTCAGAATTGAAGAATTCTTTCCACGAGCCTTATCGAATTCGACCAGTAATTTCCCGTCTGCTCGATGTCCGATGCTACAAGCTGATGACGTCTGCAAAGGAGATATTATGTGGGTAATGGCCGTCTCTTCATTCCCGAGCCTTTCCATTTCAAATGACGTATGAAATTCTCTAGAGCGGCGCTGAAAAGTTTGGGCGAGATAAAATCGCCTTGCCGAACCCTTCTATTCACGCCTGCAGTGACCTCTTCCTCGGAGATTCTGGTAGGAAAGTTGCTGAAGCCTTTACATATTGAGTAAGAACACCCAGGTTGCCCAGAGCTTCAAATGCCGTCTCTGTCTCGAGGGTATAAAAAGCCTTCTTCAAATCGATGAATTTCAGACATAACGGCATTCTGTAGTCTCGCGATACGTCAGCGAGTTTTGTGACCGGAGATATGGTCGAATTGGCTGTACTAAACCCTCCCCAAAATTACTGCTCGTATGGCGTCCTTCATCTAATATTCGGCCGATTCTGTTAGAGATCTCGTGCTAGAAGCTGCTAGATTACAGAAAACAGGCAGACTGGGCGATACTTGCCAGTACGGTCTTGATCCCCCTTCTTATATAGCAACACAGTCTTATTAGTTTTCCCCGATGTGGGAACTTTGTACTTCGCAGGTACGAATAACGGCTTTCATAGTCCGCTGGTCGACCCGCGCGCGCTCGCGAGCCAGCCAGCGGGCTGTGAAAGCAGCCAATGGGGAGCCTAACCAAAGTTCTGTCGATACCTGGTGGAACGAATTTCTGGTCTGATCCTTTCGCGAACGGACACTACACGATTCTTCATCGACGAAGAACGATTACCTCGAAATCTGGTTATCTCGAATTTCGAAAGGAAGAAATGAAGGGACGACTTCACGCCTTGCCTTGGATGGTAGGGACGTTCATAGGTAGGCAGACATAGCTGTCGAAGATTTCCAAATAGAAGTCATAGATAACCTCCATTGCCCTTCGAGAGGCATTAATTGATCCATCAGAACGATGACTGGAAATCGTCTCGACTTTGTTATTGACGAAGTACGTCCAGCCTTGCGAATGTTCTTCTCCTTCTCGGCAGCTTCGGCCACTCGACTTTGTTATTGACGAAGTACGTCCAGCCTTGCGAATGCTCTTCTCCTTCTCGGCAGCTTCGGCCAACACTGCTACTCTTCTGTCTCTCGGATCTTCCTTTATCTCTGCATAACTTTGCAAGTACGGACGTCAGTTCATGACTGTCTGCAGCTTGCGCGATACGATACGATACGATACGCAGCTTTTTAGTCCTTGTTCTGAGAGAAATTTTGAAGTTGAAATCGCTGACGACGGTCATGAAGAAGGTGTGGCCCTCTCAAAAGAGCTTTTTCAAGTGTATATAGGAGGCCTGCAACTATTCTCCTTCGTAGCTTCATGTTGGTGACTAGCAACGAAGTTTCCTAGGACTGGGGTTGGACCACATCTTCTCAATCGCAAACGACCTAGTCGGGTTGTCAAGAGTTCGTACAAAACGAAGTTTATGAATAAGTGCGTACTGTCGAGGAAACCTGCACCGCTGACGCCTCTGCTGTCGCGTGAACAGCTCTTCTGCGGTCTCGAAAATGGCGTACCTTGTTGCCTTGGTCAGTCCAATTCATCGTACTTGATTTTTCTTCTCTTCTGGTCTTCAGTACACGCTTGTGATACAAACCTTCGGGCACTACAAGTAAACACCACCATCGCAGTCTTTATCCTGTTGAGAAGTCTGTTTTGACTACCCAATATTGCCGTGCTGGTGGTTTCCTAAGGTTAAGAGGAATGAGGCCTATTCAAATTACCTTTTAGGATATGGATAATTTTGAACAGCTTGCCAAGCTCTGGCTGTGTAGAATTTGCATACCACCAGGGCATCCCAGAGTCTACTCAGCTATTAGCTCAATAGAATTAAATGAATGAATGATTAAACAAATGGATGTGTGGCGTAAATTACCTCTAAAAAGCTGCCATATGAAAAACCATTAAACATTCGTCACGGTAGTTTTCGGTGCGTAATGAGCGTAGTTGTATGTACTTCGAAACTGCCTTTAGCTTGGAGGAACTTTGGCCTTGTAGAGTTTCACTACATTGTTGGCAAACTGAAAGACTACCTGAATGATGTGCATTCATCTTCTACAATCGCGTGGATCAGCTCTGCCATATGTTTCGTCGAAGGCGAAAAACAGTGCCGTCAAGAATCCCTCACCTGATGAGGTCCCAACAACAGGATAGTTCGACCTTTTCACTCAATGTTCCCGCTTACTCATAAATAGCTCCCAAAAATCGATAGTCAATGCTTTCCAAAACAAGTCCTTCTTATCGCAGGCGATGATTACCTGTTGGCCTCACATCTGGCGGGGACGGACCCACATGTGCAGAACTCACTCCTACGATACAATTTACCCCTTACTGGTTTACTGCGCTTACTGAAGACGTTGCTCGTCCCCTCTCTCCTGTGCTCCTGCCATTTTAAAATCCACTGAACCACCGCAAGGTGATTTGAAGAGGTCAATCCAATCTAAGCCGCATCCACCCTTAGCAGCTTGGTGCATTGGCCTAAAGAAGCAATTACTCCCGTGCCAAAAGTCACAACTTTGAGGCTTGGAGGCGAGCTCTTTGAATATAGAGTATTGAGTCTTTGAGTATAAGATCGAATCAAAAACCTGAATTAACCGATTCACAAGCCTGTCGTCAAATATCCGGAGCAACTTTTCAGCAAACAAAGCAGATTAGATGTACACATGTACACAATACCAGGAGTGAATATGCAGCTTTTACAGCACTTTTGAAGAAGAAATACTGAAAGAATTACGATAAAAAGGCACTTTTATTCCATAAGATGCCTAATGTAGGCCACAATAGCACTATTGCAGATTGGCATACGAGCAGAAATAAGTAAGGATACAGAGATTGTAAACCGAAATCAGAAAGAGAAGAAAAGGACTGAAATAAAGCAGACAGAGTACGTGTCCGGCTTGAACATAGTAATGATCAAACCAGGAGATCAGTCTTTCATGCTAATGGTACCTCTCGATAAAGCAAAGTGTGCTAGAGACAGGATGAATGTCAAACTCGGTTACGTTATTCGGACGTCTTTTTTCAAATTATTTGAATGTTATCAAAAAAGGAAGTTGGTTTATCCAAGGGCACAGTTCACGAGAAAATTGTTTCTGAGATTCCCCCATAACATGAATTCGAGGGCTCCCTTGTACCATACCTGACGTCCTGCATAAGGCACAATAGGAGGCTAGAGATTGTGTCGCTTAAATGCCACACCCATAGTGGAAAAGTTTTTAAAGGGTTGTACAGGCTGCAAAACCTCAAGGGACTCTTGTCGGAAGTCAAACAACATGTCACAACCCATGGTGGTAATGAACGGCAGTTTCGGACAACTTTGTTTCGATGTAGTTAGCTCTGCGTAATTGGTGCAAGTGTATTCGCGTCCAAACGCCGCTTACATACCATTTCCTCGTGACGATCGACGAATTTTCTTCTTTCTTCATCACCAATGCACCATTTCCAGCCAATACTTCCGTCTTCCTACCTAATGAGGGTACCTCGAAATCGTAACTGCGCCTTCAATGTTCAACACACTACATTTCAAAAAATAGTATTTTTGTTACCTTTAGTGATTTACCTGGCTAGTAATACGCGTTCGTCGTAATACACCTAATCTTCAAGTCAGGCAACGCCTGCCAGTTTCCCTGAACGGAATCTCGCTAAAGCCATCCAAACCTTCCGTTTTGCCAAAGACTAGAATCAGAATCAAAAGGCACAACGCGCTTAGCAAATAAGCTAGGAAAACCGGTCAGAAGTAGCATTCAGAACTATTTTCCTCCGAGTGGATACAAAATAATCAATGATGAACTATTGTGCGGCAGGCGGGAAATGGTCTGCCGAAGGCAAACGTTCTGGTCAACGGGTCACCTTTCATGCTGTCTTCTCAACCTTCTCCCATCCCAGTAGGATAGGTCATCATCACAGCCATGCTTGCAAAGTAAGTCCATTTATTTACTCAACCTAAAAATTTACCGCTTACTTCTATTTGCAGGTACATAATTGCGATTTCTACATTTGGTTTTCTGCTTTCATTTACGAGTGGGAGTCATTTTAGACCTAAAGTGAGTAAAATCTTATTTTTATTGAGTTTCAGTTTTATAGATTCCCTCAATGAAGGGCCCATCGAATCAGTACTTTTCTGTGAAATCCACCCATCCTTTGTTTCACTATAAATTATCGTCCTTTAACAGGCACTAATTCCAAAAATGTCACCGAAATTGAAGTGTTTACATGTAGAATGTCGTTGCTCGGAGTATTGTCTTAGATCGGCAACTGATGAGATGGTCTCGTTTATTTAGCGATATTGAACTAACCTTAAATATAAGCGGATTTCCTACTAAAAATAATCTCAAAGTCAAAGAATGATGCGATTAAAGATGCCTTATTGAAAGAATTTTTTTACGATTATCTCAGACAGCACTCAGGGTAAGGGAGGTGTGGGCGAGACCAGAGGGTAGTGCAATATTGATCTTATAAGAACAATAATGTCCCTCTAATGAACCTATTACTCTTCAAATTTATGCGCTTGTAATCAGAGCATTCGTTACAGCCAGTATTCTCGATTTTGCAACAACATGCAGGATGTCCTACTGGATGGGTACAATTCCGAGACTCGTGCTATTACATTGAAAAAGAGAAAATGCGCTTCGACAAGGCGGAGGTGCGATGTTTGGAGCGAGGATCAACTTTATTTGTCGCCGATACCCTAGAAGAATGGGTAAGCAAGGAAATCATACAGTCATACTGAATCTTATCCGCCAAATTCGAATTAATGCTGCTCAGACAAAGGTGATGAGTCACACACCCAAGAATGACCTTACGTGGACGGGCTTGGAGCAGCAAGATGATGAGCGGATACCCTCATGGAAAGAACCAGGTGGAATGGATCCGCGCAATATGTGAGTTCAATAGAGCTTCATGAAGTTTGCGGCCAATCTCACTGGTTCTTCAAATCCAAGATTCACTCATAAAGTAAGCCTTCCATGCTGCTTTCAGTGACTGGCTGGTGCCACCTGGAACGTCGACAAGCAACGGATGGAACACCGCCGCAAATTGTATCGCTCGCTTCCATTCCACCTACAAATCCTATTCCTACTTCTACTACTGTGGTCTGGACTTCTATTCAATCTGCGAAAAAAACAGCACTCTACTCACAAAGATCTGGGACCTGAGTGACCGTGGTTCACTTTTCTAGAGAAACCGTTTAGCATCTAACTCCGGCACGTTCTAGAATTATATCCTAGTATTATTGTCTATGCTTATTAATTAGCAACTTTTGAGCTGAAAGCTAGCAGTATTTTAATGTGTATTTTGAACCCTCAATACTTCCTTACTTAATGATGTGGAGATCTGCTTAATTAGTAAATCGTATAAATCACATCCTATTTATTCATCCCATCTGGCCAAAACAAGCTTTCTTTGTATCGATTGAACTTTGAATCAAAACTCTTAAATGTGTGCAACGAAATCTGCTACTCAAGAAGCTGAGATGGCAGCGCTCACAGACATCTGAAAACCGTAAAATCAATGTTGGAAATTCAACTCCAGGGATGTTCCAGAAGTAGGAATAGTAAAATGCTGCTTTAGAGTGGAAATAGTTTACTTCGTCGAAACTAAGAAACTGTCACCTAGCTGGATACCTGTGCCAGAACATACGTCGAGCAACAAAACGACAATAATAGGCAACTGCAGCATTGAATAATCCCTTTGTGGGTAGGCGACGCCGTAGGCTCTTATAGCTGTCAAGATCGTGAGGGCTGTTGAATACATATTCTGCCTATGAAATGATTTGGAGAAGCCAGCCCAGCCGGCTCAAATTCTATCCAGTGTTGATAGTTCTTGCCACAATGAATAGTTTTTGAGGAGGATTGGCTGGAAAGTGATCAAAAATCAAAATTATTAGTAGCGTACTTGACTGTGCATATAGCTTCAAAATGTGTGTGTATCACCTAGTCCAGGCTAGCCTTGGATAACGAAATGGCGTTTTGGGCTCGGATGATTTCCACTTCTGACTGTGCTCATCGCGTTCACTTTTGAAAAGTTCTACATTTTAACCATTCCATGACAAAACACCTTAGGCCCCTCTCAATCTTTAATCTGAATAAGTGAGTGAAGTTCACAGCAGCTGCTTTCATAGCTCAGCATCCATGAGCATTTATTTTTTGTCGAATCATATTTTCGAGTTGTTTTTGGTTTCGTGGTAATTCATTCCAGAAGTAAATTGATCTTCGTGTACATCCGTTGAAGTGGATTGAACATAGACGAGTAGTGGAAGATTTCTCGGGCAATACGAGCAGCTTCCTAAACGAGCATTTGAGTAATTGCTGAGATAAGGGATCTTGGAAGGAAGCGTTCGGCAGTGCAATGTAGACCGATTAAATCCTTCTTATATATAAAGCAGTAACTTGGTTTGTCGGTTTGTCGGTATGTCTGTTTGTCGGTATGTCGGTATGTCGGTTTGTCGGTCTGTCCGTCCGGGTTGCTTTGTGATTATGATAAACATAGTGATATGGAAAACTTATCCTACTTTATATAATTCGCTAAGTGTGTCCGTTGGTGTGTCGGTGTGTTTGTGGGTGTGTGTGTGTGTCGGTGTGTGTGTCTGACCGGAACTTCATAATTCCTGTCCCCATGGACCTAGAGCGCTCATATTTGGTAGGAGTAAAGGGGGCAGGACGGGAACACCTTTGGTAAGTGGCAGGACCGGACTCCGTTCACAGGGAGCAAGGCGTGCACAATAAAAATTTTAGGACGCAAATTCATAACTCCTGTCCCCGTGGACCTGGAGCGTTCAAACTTGGTAGGAGCACAGGCGACAGGACGGGAACACTCATGGTGGGTGGCAGGACCAGAGTCCGTGCACAGGTGGCGGAGTTTTGCCCGAAATATTCAAAGCCCTAGGTCCTTCAAACTTGGCAGGAGTACAGGCGGCAGCATGGGAACATTTATCGTGAGTGGGAGGACCGGACCCCACTCATAGAAGGCGAGGTTACGCCAAAATTTTCAGTTTGGCTCTAGGGCGTTTAAACTTGATGGGAGGCAGGCGGCAGTATGGGAGCACTTATGATGAGTAGTAGGGTCGGACTCCACCCCCTAGGGACGGGTTTTTTTTATAAATGAGTGGAAATCCATAACTCCTGATCCCGTGGACTTGGAGAGCAAAATCAGTAGGAGGAGGCAGGATGGAAACACTGACAATAGAAGAGGCCTCAGAGAAGAAGATCCACACACCAGTTGCCTCTCAGCGCCTTTGTTATTTACGATCTAGCTTTGACTTTTTGATATGTTTCATTCGACAAGAAGGTTAAGTTGTGTGATTATAAGGAGAAGAATTTGGTTCATTTCTTGCTATTAGATTACGACCGCTAAACAGCAGAATTTGTGATTAAGTAACAGATCACGGTTTTTCTTTGCTTTGAAATCATTCCTAGCAAAATTTATCCGACCGGTAATAATGTTGGGTTCACATTTAATGATGTATCCGCAGAGAAAAGGAGGTACAACTTCAAAGGCATTTGATAGTCTGTACTCTCGCTCAGCGAAATAACATATTAAAAAGGGGGAATTTCCTTAACTAGATATTTTTCGATCAAAGTCCTTTGCCCCAAAAAGGAGGAGAGCCTTCGATGATGGCATTGAGGAACATTGATGGTAGCTAACATAGTAGCCTCAGCCGCGATGAAGTCTCTGAACACTTTTTTCTCTTAATAATCGCCTTTTTGATGTTAAACGATGTTCTTTCGGACACAGCGAGGTTGGCTTACAGAAAAAATCGCTCCTAATTCGTAGCTAATACTGAGGGTGTAGAGCTTTCAAAGCAAAAGGAGAATCCGAAGTGTTATTCACGCATAGCAAATTTCTCAGAGGAAGAAGGAGCGCCCGGCGTAGCCGGGCGAACCCACAAGAAGGAGGGAAGCCTGGCGTTAGCCGGGCGGCCCGACTGGTAAAATATAAATTGAAATGAATAAAATAATTAAATAATAATTAAATATAATATATAAATAAATTCGATTAAATAACGGATTTTTTGTGCTGGAGATCAATTAACGTTCGTGGATAACCTTCAGGACTTTATTCTGCCGAAGAGGTGTACTGCTTATACTGCGATTTCGCCTGGGAAAATAGGATGTGCTTATTAGGAAAAATACACAAGAAAGGAATCAGGACGGCTGAAGCGAATGAGTTAAATATTCGGAGGTCCGTCCCGCCGAAGAATTATCTGATAGATAAAAGTTCCGTGAAAAGATTTCAGCCCATCTCACCTCGTTTACCCATACTGAGAAGTGGTATTATTAAATGGTGGCCAGCTCCGCTTACAAGCTCCAGACCTGCGCTCTGATAGTGGGTGATGTCGAGCGGACAGGAAAGTAGAATCAAAGGATATGCTTGTGATTGATAACCATTAAGGGTCTAAGTGAGAAAAAAAAACAGGAAATTCATCAGAATCCATGAGTGAAAACCTAAAGCGTAGCGTATTCGGAAAATACTGAGCAAAGCTGTTCTTGCTCCATTATTCAATTTCTCAAATATTTCTGTGCCAATGAGAAATCAATTTCAAGCGCAAGGTGACAAACCGAATTATTGCTTGGACGAATATAATCCGGGATTTTGAGGCATTCTGCAACGATTTTATGACGTTTACCAGTGTATTCGACCACTTCACGAGGCCAATCATCAGATGAGATCAGGTAAATCTGAAATCATCATAAATCACCTAATTTTCTTCCAAAAAAACTAGTAATGAATTCGACGAATCCTTGCTTGGTCTTTGGCCTACGTACTGTCACCTCCATATGCTCGCCAGCCTGCAAAACTCCATATGCATGCCATATTCGCATCATTTTTTCCTGAAAAAAAAAACTCGCAGAATATTCGGATGGTACTTTAAGTTCATTTTATTAAACCGAATTTTGCCTTTCTAATATTCCCGATTCCGATTCCATAACTCGAAAAGGTAAAAAAAGATCATCCGGGGCTTGCTCGGTCCTCATACTCCTTGGAGCGCAGCTTTCTTGAAACCTTCCCGGAAGTATCAGGTGGACTCAACTCACGCAAGGGTGGAACTCGGAACTGCTGAAATCACCTCATGTTCACTATTGAAAACCCATTCTCTTCAGGCACCGAGATGTGCGTAATGGTCTCACAATCGGACACTCAAAATCATAGTTAAGTCATTTCCGCCCAATTGCTTCGCAACTGGTTCCTAGCAGTTTTCAATCTGATTCCGATAAGCGACCCACGAGCTAAGGGTAGGAACTAAGGGTCTAACCATAAGTCGCAGGTTTTTGACTTGGTCCTTCTTCACGAATCCTTAGCCACTACCTCTACATCGCCATTCTTAACTACACTACAGCATGTGCTGGGAAGAAAGAGGTGAGAGAGGCGAGTCGAATATGTGCGCAGTACTATATCGAGATCTCCTAGATTCCTCACCTTCGATTTAAAGCACCAAGCCACTGGATATGGATTCCTATTCATGACTGTAATTTCTCCGAAGCACGGATTTTTATAGGAATTAGTTGAATGGAACATCAACCATCTGCAAAGAAGACAGCTATCTGTTTGATGTGATGACATGTTCATGCCCTTCTTTGGATGTGCCATGATTCCCATCTCTATTAGGAATCATAGTGTCTTGTACTGGCAAACAGACTTGGAACTTTATAAATGAGATTATGTAGCGGGTGAGATTGCCACATGAGGATTCTTTTCGCGAGCGGATTCGCTCAGATGTTCCTGATTTCGGAAATTACCACATTAATTGCCTGAATCGAGGCTACCCGAAAGGAGCAGAACGTTCGACTCCTTGGGGCTAGTTTCTTTAATTCGCAATGAAAAGAAACCTAATTATTAATAAATGTCTAAAGTTGTGGGTGAGATCACAAACCACGCGCTATGCTTCGCGGCACACAAGAAAACGATTCTAAAAAACTCAACTTGGCCTGCATATAAGGTCTTCATCAGGCATGTCTCCAAAAATGCGATTTTTCATGTATTCCTCGTAACTTTTGACGATGTGCATCCTGTCGGTACCTGACCTGTCGTCTGATTGCGCACCATCTGTTTTCAATTTTGGTCTCTGTCATAAGAACGCTCGTGCATTGGTAAATATTATTCTATTACGTTAAATGGGTTAAAAATAAGAAGACGAGAAAAGTAATGCCAAGTCGATCACTACATAGTTGGTCCCATTCTGGTAGGATTTCAATTGTGAAATGAATTTGAAGCTTCACACTGATGATGATGTTGAAGCAGAGCTACCTCAACATAAAGACCCCTCTCAACAAATGCGTGATACTCGGCGAGGAGCTGCAGACTGTCAGTTAAAAGCATAAATAACACTAATGCGGCAGCTCGTTCAAAGGCACAGTTTCGGGTACACTTTGTAGGTTATAGGAATAGTGCATCGGTGGTGAAGAAAACGTGAAAATTTGCCAATTTTGTGAAAAATCAGGCTCTCAAAAGCAGTGAAAATAGAGCTTGTACAAGATTACTATGATGGAAACTATTTGGACGAGATTTCAGTTGTTGCAATTGCGTAAAGAGCGACATCAAGCCAAAGGGTATGGGTACATTCGTGTGATTCAAACTCCCCTCTCATTGGGGCACAAACTTGGAGCAGACAGGTATGGTCAGCTCATCCTACTAACCTGCTCTATTTCAAATTTGGGATCCCATGATAGGCGCTAAACTCGTCAAACTGTGGTGCCGAAACTTCTTTCCGAATTCTCACATGAAGCGGCGAAAATCACGCGGCGGTCCTCTCAAAGCGCGCGACTGTGCACGATCGGGTGCGGCGAACGCGACGCCGTTTTCGGGGAGAAAACACCGGACCCGTCGAACTCGCCATGAATTTCGCCGGGTAACTTGCCGCGCGCAGTCCGAATCGCACAAGTGTTCCGTCCCCCCAGCCAAAACTGTCTAGAATTGCCTTTCGCTGTCGCTATGGGTCGTGACGAGTTGTTTGAACTCTCTACATGGGTTCCCTTGTGACCGATACAGCCTCCACAATGCCGTCAAAACTCATCCGCCCATACACAGTGACAATTTTTGAGCCTTTATAACGCACAATCTAAGCCTTTATAAGCCGACCTGACAGTGCCACATATGGTATACCAGTGGGCCACAGATTTGTCTTAGCGGGATATTTCATGAGCCATTTTATTGTAAACTGTGCCTTCAAGATTCTATAACTCAAGCAGGTTATAATGAGACCGAAAATTGAAATCGAATTTCATTTCAGATCAGTTCAAATGAGCCCTTCATTATGAAGAAAGCGACCAAAAGGTACCCGCAAGCCACAAGGTGTTTTGAATAATAGCGAACTCTTGAGAATTTTATTTCTTTGCTGTTCTTGCGTGAACACCTTACACTTCCAATAATCGTTGGGTAGGTAGTGATCAGGCCTACCCAAGTTAGACTTCCTGTAGGTCTAATCAGTAACGGTGTCGAAATTATATCCGTTGAGAGAGCTCCTAAGATAAAAAAGCATCAAGGTCCTCAAATTCCAAGCTAATACGGCAGCGTAGCAGCATTTTAGAGCAACATAGAAGGAATTTTGGCCTGGTCACTTGTATCCGAGCACTAGTGGCATTACCGAGGAAGTGATACGATCATGTAAATTGCCTCGAGCAACGCACAGCTACTGCTATGCAAGTGCTCTCCTACCAGGTTTTCCTCCTTGCCGCCTATGTCCTCTTAGTGAGACAAGAGATGAAGTTTGTTCCAGGGGATGATGGTAAGCCCCAAAATGTTGAAACATCCGACTTGCAATGACCGGGAATTGGAGTACTAGCGGAGCAGTCACTCGCCTCAGTTACATTTCAAGCCTATTTTGCAATGCCATTCCGCCATTACCAAAAGATGATGAGATTACCAAATGGCATTCTCCTATTCTATTCGGACAAGGATAGTCGAGTAGTTCAGGGTGTCGGCGCATGTCCACACTCAGTAAAACCACGAGTTCAATTGCTGTCGAGACAAGAACTGTGATCTGCAAACATTGCGGATACGCTATCGGTACCAGCGTCAGGACCAGGTTAGCAGGTCGGCTGTTGGAGCAGGGTCTTGTTACAAAAAATGGTTTGAGACACAAAAAGAATTAGGTATGAGCGGTGAGCCCTTCAGCTCTACAAGAAGCGGAGACTACTGGAGGCAGCCGTGAACAAAACCAGTCTGAGAAAATGCCATCGTGATCTTCCAGGACCACAGTATTCCACTTTCGTGCTTGCAGAAGGAGGACGGAACAATTACAACATCGAGATTTGAGGTGGAGGAAGTCACACGGTGGTTTTATACCAACCTGCACCGATCCACGACACACGTCAGAAAACCAAAAATCCTAACTGGCGGAACAGCACCTAGGATCCTTCCTTCGAAGGTGAGAGTTGCGATTGCGAGCATGAAAAGGGGTATAACTCCAGACCCCGACAAGATCTCAGCCGACCTACTCCGTGCAGGTGGCTACGAACTTCATGCGCTCCTCGTGACACACATGACGTCCTACCTCCAGAAGGAGAAGANCCCCAACCAGTGGAGGAACTCGCGGATGGTCATTCTTCACAAGACGGGAGACCGGGATGATCTTCGCGATTACCGCCCAATAAGCTTGTTAGGCGTTGTTTACAAGCTGTTCACAAAGATCATTCTAACCCGCATATCGCGAAAGTCGGATGAAGCTCAGTCTGTAGAGCAGGCTGTATTCCGGAAGAATTCAGCTGCTTAGACCACATGCAAGCGGTCGCAATGGTCAGAGGAGTGTGCCGAAAATTCCGGATGCTTTTTGTCCTTACATTTGTTGACTATGAAAAGGCTTTTGACAGCGTCGAAACGAATGCGGTTCTGTAGGCACTGGTCGATCAAGGAGTGGACCCTTCCTACATAAGAGCACTAGCTGACTGCAGTAGTCGCTGCAGCGCGACTATGAAGCTCTTCCAACGACCTCTCCCATTCCCATAGGGAAGGGTGCAAGACAAGGCGACACTATTTCGCGAAGCTGTTCACAGCCGCGCTGCAGTAGGTTATGAAGTAGCTAGACTGGGAGGAAAAAGGCATTCGTGTGGAAGGGCGATTCCTCTCAAATCTCCGCTTTGCGGACGACATCGTTCTCTTCTCGAGCAACATTACGGAAGCTGAGGCTATGCTTGCTGAGCTCAATAAAGCAGGAGAGAAGGTAGAGCTGCGGATCAGCCAAACCAAGACACAGTTCATGAAGAATGCTGGGGCCGACGAAGGTCAAATTAAGATCGATGGTACACTTATCAAGGAAACCTCGTCCTACGTGTACTCGGGTGTTCCGTGAATACGGACAACGACATGAGGGGAGAACTGGTGAGACTGCAGAAAGCAGCGTGGGCCGCCCCCGGACCTCTGAAAGAGGTTACCAACCATCTGGCTGACCCGGAACTTTGCGATAATTTGTTCGATTCCACAGTTCTTCCTGCACTCTGCTACGGGTCGGAGACTTGGGTGACCAGACACACAAGCACAAGCCACGGAGCGCTAGAGCGATGTCTTTTGAGGTTCAATAAGCTCACTCAGTATCGAGCCGGACTCCGCAGCTCCGATATGCGCAGAATGTCTCGACT